CAAGCTCACTCCCGTGCCAGACTAAAATCTCAGTACTAATGAGTAAATTGAACGTAAGATTGTAGTCCATCACGGGAGGACAGCGTCAGCACCAATTCAGAGATGATTTGAGAATCTACAGCCGATTGATACACAAATAAAATACATTTTTGTTAATAGTTAAGGTACTTGAATACATTTTTATGATTTAATTCCTGAGTTTAGTGTCACTTCAAAGTATTAAACAGAACCTTTGATGCATTCAGGGCTTGTTCACACCATTTTCTGGTCCAGATCTGGAGCAGATCTGCAGACGCGGTGCATGCAGTGCGTTTTTGACGCGTTTTGACCGCGTTCCAGTTAAAAAGAAAAGTAGGGCTGTCAGTATGTTAGCTGCAGTGCGGTGCGTTTTCGACCCGTTCCTGCGTTTCCGGACCGGAGAAAATACGACATGCAGTATTTTTTCTGTCCGGAACGGACTGCGCTGGTGAGAACTGCAGCTCGTAAAACATATAGGTAACTTTGGGATGCATTTTGGGTGCAGGAGCGCACGGTTCTGGTCCGGACAGAATCTGGACATCGTCTGAATAAGCCCTCTGACATATCTGCCAAATAACTGTTCACTACATCTTATGGCCCAATCAAAGTTAATGGACAAAACACAGTGCAGTATCTTGTGGCACCTAGAAAGTTGAACACAGGGCACTTGTGTTTTAGCACACAGATGTGAACCATCTGTTCAACCTGGTGCGTTGCAATAGGGAGAATGCTGCATGTCCAGTTTATGTGAATTGTGATGTGTTGGCAGACTGTTAAAAATTAAAAAAAATGGTCTGCCTTAACATAACTTATGATAATGCCATGCTTTACCAATATGCACAAGTGTGAACAAACCCTTACTCCATTTAGCCTTCATATTTAGGCTAGGTTCACACCTAGGCGATTGAACTGCTGAGGTGTTTTCCTGTGATTGTCACGCATTTTTGTTTGCTTGATTTCGGGTCTCATAGACATTGTCGCCAATGTCTATGAGACCCAAACCGTGCGACAACTGCCCAAAAATAGCTCCTGCACCTTTTTGTGCAACAGGCAATTTCTACAGCGCAACAAATCGCAAAGGTGTGAACAGCTTCCATAGACTTGAATGCAAATCTCTGTTTTGGGCGATATCGCACATAAATCGCCTAGGTGTGACCCAGCCTTGTGGTTCTGGTTATAAAAAAAAATTGAGTAACTATCATCCAGCACAACTGCAACGACATTCGTTCTGTGCGTATTAACCAGCTGTTCTGAGAATGGGGCAAAATAGAATGTTCTATTTTCTCTAATATTATGGGTAGTAGTGAATTGAGAAAATACCTCATTAGGGCCACTAAATGGAGGTGAGGATCATAGTGAATAAATACATCTTAAAAACAAAAGAGATAAACGGTAAGAGTTCTAGAGAACGATGAGGAATGCGCAAATTAATGTAACTATTGCTACTATGAGAATCCCTGTAGTAGCAATGGTTATATTTCTTAAAAACTAACAACTCAAACGTTTTTCCATTTGGAAGGTCTCACATCCTCTATAATCCCATATAGGAAAGTCAACTCACTTTTTCTACTCACCTCTTTAACTGTTAAACATTGAATCCCCTTTTACCACCCATCTCATGTAGTAGCTAAATAAATACCAGGTGAGTGTTATAAGTGAGTGTCAAGCCTATCAATTTTAAACAATAAATTTACAATTTAAATAAGAACATAAATTATAATTAACTACCATCCATATTAGTCAATTAGGTATACAATATACTATTGTGAATTATGATAAAAGGGATGCAAACTAAACAGCTATAGTTATAACGATCGCATTAACCCAATATTCTTGGAAAATGCTATCAGCTTATAATCCTGTATTTCAAAGTTTTTATTAGTTTTCCATTTTTATAAATAAAGATTTGTTACAGTCAGATAGCATGTGTAGCACAGCAAATCATCCAATAGTCTTCAATATCAGAACTATACTCCGTTTAATAGTCCCATTAACTTTGTGTTATTGTGCCATAATAGCGATCTACTTTATATCTGGGGGCTGGTACTTCTAATCAATTTCCTCTTACTATTCAAAGTACAGTTAATTCTCACTGTCTACACATGATAATTCCCTCCGGTGGGCTCGTTCATCTCTCTCATCGGAGAGTAGCATAAAATGGGAAAACAATTTAATGAAAGAAGGAAAAAGAAAAAAGGAGAGAAAAAAAAGGAGGAAATTGGAGACTCCTAAGGTCATGGTATCAAATACAATGCTTAACCTGAAGAAGCTCTAAATATGCCAGAAGGGTTTGAGATCCCTTGATATGTCAACCATGGCTCCCATACTGCTTCAAAGTTCGCATATCTGTCTTGCAAGATACTGTGAAATTTCTCGTGGATCATAATCCAGTTTAACTTAGACAGTACCATATTCTTGGAAAATGCTATCCGCTTATATCCTGGTAATGCTGCTAAATAGGAAACCCTGCCGTGCGTAAAAGAAAAGGAGCTCAACGGCTAAATCTGCAACTGGAACCTTGAATTAGCAATCTCTCCCACTGTTCATTAATACCTCCCTTCGGCTCCTCCTTTTTCCGCTATGTAGCTGGTGGCGGCATACGTCTAAAGGCATGGTAGCCATGTCCCTTATATTAGAACCGAGATGCTATGCCCCCAGTACTTACCCTGCTTATTACAAATATGTAGCTTATTTGATAACCACTGGAAGAGGAAAGGTCTGTGTTGACAGTTTGTTTTTTGTATGTGATGTTTTTATGGTTTATATAAACTTAAATCAATTGCATAACAAAACAGTCACAATAAACAGTTTATAAAGGTGTTCTAAATAAAGTACCAAATTCACCAGACCATACCTTCAGCCACTGAGGGGGAAAAAAAGAACAACTTTTATACTTAAATAGTGTTTGGTAACATAGTAAAGTTAAATCAAACACAAAACATAACTGTAATATCTAAAAATAATTAGTAACAAGTAGGGATGTCCCGATACCGATGCTAGCATCGGAATCGGGCCCGATACAAGGCATTTTGACAAGTACTTGTACTTGGAACAATTCTGATTTCCTTAAAAAGAATCAGACAGGCTACCAACATGGGAACAGCCATTGCGAAATTTCAGTTAAAGTACCGCAGCGCTGAATACTGAAAAATGGCCTGGATGGGAAGGGGGTTTAACACCGCGGATGTCAACTGGTTAAAGAAACACATGCATGCTTATTCGGTGTCTCTAATTAACTAGTGAAGTAGTCAGCAATGCCAGCTTCCATATTTCTGTAATGCCAGGCTACCTTAATGTCTCATTTAATAAGGCAGTATAAAGTTCAGTAATCCATGGTACCTAGTTTCCACTCTTTTCTTCATAAGACTACAGTTACCAGACTCTTGACTGGATGCTATAATATTGCTATTTGCAAATGAATAGAGGAACAAAACTCTGGATGCTGTGCCCAAAAAAGCAGGCACATGAAAAAGGACTAGTAACCAGTATTGCCGGTTGTCTCCCTGCATGTGATCCCTCCCCATTACTGATCTACCGTGCATTGTTCTTTATTGTGTCTCTGTGTGGGGGTGGCCATCTTGGTAGAGGTAAGGATTTGCTTCCTCATGTCAATACCTCCAAAAATGAGAATAGTAAGCAGCACAGTAGTGACATCTCATTCCAAATCTCCAGAGACTGGCAGTCAGAGGCAGCAGTGCCTTATATCACACATTGCACATATACAGCTATGAGGTTGTAGGCACAGGAATGCCTGGGCATTCATACATCAGAAAGTGCCCTGCCATTTTTCAGGAGGCATAGGGTATATTTTCAGGGTACTGCTACGGGCACAATTAAACATTTCTAAATGAGCCCTGTAGCATAGCAAATCTTCACTTTTGAGTTCAGGTCCACTTTAAATGTGCTTCAATATTTTTAAAATGGTAAATGCAAAATACATTTGTATTTTTTTTCCTTTAGCCCTTTATTTAGTAAAAAAAAAAAAACCTTTATAACTTAAAGTAACTTGTAGCTAGTGTGGAATAATAGGTCCCAATGTGACCTGACAGAGTTTTTTCTCTGGTGTGCATTTGCATACATATTTTCTTAATTAGAATAAATATAATTTTAATCTAGGATTACCAATTCATAAACAAGTGTTTAATGTATTAACAATTATCAGTATAAATATCATTCTGCTAGATTTAGTACTGATATGATCAATGCATTGATGCATGATTCATTACATGAAGTTCAATGTAAGGAAACAGTACTGTCCATGGCAAAGCATTTTGTTCAGCGGAGGCCATGTGATTGCTATGAACATCCAGTAGGTGGGGTATTTACTTACAGGCCTACTATGTAAAACATGGAATTTCTCAGATGTCCTTTCTTAAAATAAAAAGAATCACGCATTTCCCACAGAGCACTGTCTGAACAAGTTTTCCTATCTGTATTTTGTACTCTGCCTGAGTTAAATGAGCAGAGTGAATATCAATACATTATCAACTCTAGACTTCTGGCAGGAATATCCCATCTTCATTATTGCTGTTAGTTAATAAGCTAGCTCCCAACAAAGAGAGCTAATGAACATGTGCAGAGCTACCCAAGAGATGTAACAACTTGAGTGCTGATGTATGGTGCACCAAAAGCAAAATGTTAACACCTGTGATCATTAAAAGAAAAAAATTATAAATACAACATTTTAGTTAGCAGTATGATTCATGATAACTGCCTTCTCACACAGTACACTCCTGGGAGCCTATAACCATCACCAAAATCACTAAAACTGTATATAGATTACATTTTACCAGTACTGTAAATAAAAGAATGAAGAAAGACAACTAGAAGTTCATATATCGTGAAGTCAACAGTGAATGTGTGATAACCAATACATATACTGTATCCTGGTAGATATTATCCAATGTTATTCACAATGTCTATATAACGTATAATAATAATAGTATTTAATACTTTTGAAAACAAAGTCAAACATTCCTTACTTTTGTTTTAGACCCAAAGAGAAGACAATCAGATTTCTTTCCAATCTTTAGACATGTTTTTGCTGAATTTAGGGAGAAACCTTCCTACAAAACAGAAAATAATTAACTAAAATCTATGATCACAACAACTGATAATAGAAACAAATGGAAGGCCTGTGTCGACAGGCTTAGACATTGTGTCAATAGCATTAATTTGACCAGTTTCAGATGCTTCTGAAATCACTGAGAAATTATTGACAGGTGCATTTGACCTCCTTCTGACCGGCGGGTTTTGCATTCCAGTACACTTGTACGGGTATGCAGACCCCACTTGAAGCAAACAATAGCCCATCGACAAAGTCCCTAAGATAAGTGCAGAGAGAACTACATCAGTCCTATGCAACCAGACCATACTGTTAACCCTTGTGCTGCCAGCATTGTACGTCTTACAGTGTTTGCTGCGGGGCCCCTGTAAACAGATTCCCAGTGGCTATATAAAGCTGACTGTTGGCTTTACACTGGAAGTGATTGTGGAGGCTGAAAAGCCACCTGACTGCTTCAAGGGGCCGGTGAACAGAGCCTCCCCTTCCACCCTACACCCTATGTCTTGCTTCCCAGGCTCTGCTGCCCCTCCTGCAGGCCCAGGACCAGCATCGTGGGTGTCAGCGGGTAGCAGGGAGAGAGACCAGTGAACATATGTTCACTGACCTCCTCCTCTCTGAATGAAGCCAGAAGCTTCACTTCAGGGTTCTCAGCCGTCATTTCCTGGCTAGAGAAGCCAGGGAAGAAGCTGATCAAGCACAATCTGTGATGTGCAAAGGTGACATTAAGGATCTAATATATCACTAATGTCCCCTTAAAGATTACCTGTTACCTCCAATGGTTGAATTTGATTAGATTTTCTGCCAGGTTGCATTACTCCTTTTCAATTAATGCAATTATGTTTATGAAAACATAATTAAATACATTTTAAATGCAACGATCAACACATACATTTGCCCCAATATCAATCTTGTTTAATACCCTGTGCATCAGTGCTCAGACTGTAGAAGGGTTTGGCAGAACATGGGGCCAATAAGTTGTCCTAGATTCACTTTTGCTGTCAAGGAACATGATGACAGAAGGAGGGAGCAGAGAGATGACCTCATGTTGCTACTCCTTCACTGTCCAATCACAGGCGGGGGTGACCTGACCTGACTGTGCAGTTAAACTAGAGCAGAGAAAAGTCATGTCACCAGCTTGGCTGTGCTGTCTGGCAGGGTTGTGTGTTTACAGACAGAAACACAAATCCTTGGCAGGTAAGACATCTCGCATATACACTGAGTGGCCAGATTATTATGATCACCCCATCAGTACTTCGTTGGGCCACGAGATGACTCCACGAGATGACTTTGTTGGGCCGCCTCGTGACTCCACGAGATGTTGAAAGGTGATGCGCGGAATCTGACACTGCACTGTTGCCCTTCTGTTGCCTTGTACCAGTCTTGCCACTCTCCGTTCTGCCCTAACATTGACTAGTCGCTGACGGCCACAATTCGCACGTTCAGACCCAGATTTTCGGCTGACATTCCAGTCTTTAAACACCTTAACAACAGCTGCTCTTGAACATTTAACAAATTCTGCTGTTTTGCTGATACTCGCTCCATGGCTCAGAGCGCCAACAATCATCCCACGTTCAAAGGCTGTTAAATCGCGTTGTTTACCCATATCTTCAGAAAAAAATCACTTCTACTGTTGTGGTAAACAATCTGCTTCCCTATTTATAATGGTCTGGCCCTCTAGCAACTTCAGCGCGAAATTATAGCTAGTTTGCCTACAAACATCAGGTGGTCATAATAAACTGGTCACTCAGTGTATATATCTTGTGTGCTTAGATCCATTGCCTAAAGTTCAGCTTTAAGTTGCATGACCACTTCAGGTTTGAAAACAACTTCTCATATACTTTACTGAACAACAAAATTACATTCAAACACATTTAAAAGGGGGGTGAGATAAACCATGAAGTAGCTTACAAAACAAGGAGTCAGGCCCCCAATAAAATACTGGAGAGAACCAACTTGAAAGCGACCTGTGAGATAGATCCTTACTTCCTACAATCCTTGGATTACCAACCTACTATATTTTTGCTTCTGGATTTTTCGTTAAGCAGGTGATGTTATGCAAGGTGGTGTTCGAGGGCTCAGAACAGTGGTTCACAACCTGTGTGTCGCAACCCCCTGTTAAGAGGGTCACCTTGTGCCTTCTACTGCGCTGGGTGGCAGGCTCCTCAGCTTCCCCCTAGTGCAGCAGTGTCAGTTCTCCCACCACGCCACGAGATGCCGTTGCAGCAGCCACAGCCGGGGAGGAGCAGAGAGAGGGAAGCGGGCGGGAGTGACACATGGACGGGAGGTGAGGAGGTTCCCTTCCCGCTGATGCACTCCAGTATTAAATTGCTGCATCACTGACCACTTCAGAGATATTACTGACTGCCACTCAGTTATAAGCTTCATGTAAATGCTAATTCCGGGGACCTTCAAACAGTTAATTAGGACTGATTGTAACTTTCTCTTACACACTATGCCTAAACGACACATTATTGTGAGTGATTCACTGTGACCCCCGGGTGACACTGCCATGGGAATAGGGGCTTCGTTGTATCCTTAAAGCAGTGGTTCTTAACCTGTGGATTGCAACCCCGTTGAGTGGGTTCCTGCGTGCCTTCTGCTGTGCTAGGTGAGTGCTCCTTAGTCTCCCCCTAACGCAGCAGTGTCAGTTCTGCCGCCGTGCCACCAGATGTTGCTGCAGCCAGGGCCAGATAAACATAGGGACTAGGGGAGCTCCTGCTCCTGGCCAGCACCTGCAAATAGGCCTGGCCGGCCCGCATCACATGCCTGATGGGAATCCCAGTCGGCTGCAGTCAGGCAGCGCTGACCCTCTCCCTCTATTCAGGCATATTAGAAGGCCACTCGCTGGGGCCTCGCAAGGCCGGAGAATGTGGCCACCTGAGTAGGGAGCTGCCAGTGTGCCAAAGCCGCCAGAGAACCCGCACTGACCACGGAAGAGCCCGCACTGATCATGGAGGAGCCCACACTGGCCACCAGAGAGCCACATTGATCACCAGAGGGACCACACTGGACACCAGAGAGCCCATACTGGACACCAGAGAGCTCGCACTGACTACCAGAGAGCCCACACTGAACACCGAAGAGCCTCAATGATCACCAGAGAGCCGCTTGACCACAAGAGAGCCCACACTAACTACCAGAGAGCCCACACTGACCACCAGAGAATCACTCTGACCACCAGAGAGCTGCACTGACCGCGAGAGAGCCCAATTGACCACCTGAGAGCCCCACTGACCACATGTGAGCTCACACTGGCTACCTGAGAGCCCACACAGCCCTCCTGAGACCCTGAAGACATCAGGCCACAAACCCAGAGCAACATAGAGTATGTCGTTTTATATTATTCTGCATTGATGTATAATGTATTACTGGGATTTGCAGTCCTCTATATCCGGTGCCATTCTGCATTGCTGTATAATGTATTGCTGGGACTTGAAGTCCTCTACAGTTCGTGGTATTCTGCATTGCTGTGTAATGTATTATTGGGATTTGTAGTCCTTTCTTCTGGAGTGTGATCTCAAGGGGAGCCAGTTTCTCGGTATCGAACACAGTGCAGCATGAGACTGGCTTCCTGGCCATTCAGGAAGATGAGAGGCTGCCTTGTTTTCTGATTGGCTGGGAAGCTGGTTTCATGTTCCCTCATGGCACTGCATACTGTCTTCCTGACCAATGAAGAACCCAGGTGGCAAGTCATGACCCACTGCCCTTCTTCACGATTGGTTAGGAAGTCAGGCTGACCGGCAGTGTCGCAAGGGTGCATGGAATCTCCCTCTGACCGGCAGCTCCGGTATCGGAACATTTGAGTATGAGTACTCGGCCAAATGCTCAGTATTGGCACAGTTACTAGTATTGGAAAATCCATAAATTTCACCATTGGGGTCACCACAACTTGGCAAATGTTACCAAGGGGTCTCGGCTCCAGAAAGGTGCGGATGGATTTCTTCCTATTTTAAATAATCTCAGTCTGATTGGGAACTTATTCAAAGCCTTACAAAACAACTTTTCAGAGGTTAGTTAATATTTCCCTCAATGCTCAAAATGTTGATATTTTACCTCTTATGAGGTTTCCTCATGTCTGTCATTCTTTATAGTACATTTTTCTCTGCTTATGTGACCTCAATCACGTAAATGAGCTAACAGGCTTTTTATTGTCAATCCATTTCTATGTTGTGTTATATCTCTATTTTCGAATTCCCCTGTGAAATTAGTTTCTGCTATTCAATGTAATCTTTTGTAAAGCCAAAAAAAATTATTTTTGTAAAAGAAGTTAATGAACATCATCACAAATCCATTTTCTATATGTGAATACTTCTTAGACCACAGAGAAAGGAAAATAAATAACTATAGGTCATCAAATAGGTCAAAAGTAAGATCATGCATATAAAGAAGAACAAAATTACATCTCATAATAATGACAAACTAGAGCACTTAAAATGCATAAATCTCAAGAACTGGGATATTTCCTGAATCTCCCCTCTCTTCATTAGTTGCTTTGTTTTTTAACCTCATTAAGACCTTAATTAACATTTATAAAATGTGAAACAAAATCAGTGTAGAATTAAAAAAAATATGCAACAAAAAAACAGGGCAGCTTTCCCATCAATGAATATCAGACTCTTTATGCTCTGCTTTTACATTCTACAGTTTGTAAATATGCCCAATTTAGCTTTTTCTTCCACTGGATACAGCTTGTCAGAGGTATTACAGCCAAAATAATCACCTTTTTCTTTTCATTTCATACAATTTTAAGGCTGTCATATACTCATGCAGACAATTTTGTTGAAAGTTACAAAATATGGCACATCTCCCTTCTACTTGCATGAAGGCTCTAAAAAATAAACTCACTAAAGGCAAAAATGTACGCTATAATCTATGTATCAATGGACTTTCTTAAAAAAAGAAAAAGAAAACACTTCTTCTCATGATCTTGGACAATTTCTACAACATTCTTCTCTTTATCCTAATAGCAAAATAAAACTCAGGGTCCATCCACACCTAAGC